CCTGTAGAGTGTATGATGCAAAACAAGACAAACGACACAACAAAAAACACACCGAGAAGAGTGAGAAGACAAAAGTCCCTTCCTACCTATGTAATAAATTACGTTATGCCTGAGCCTACCTATGTAATAAACTACCTTATGCCTTAGCCTACCTATGTAATAAATTATCATATGTCTCAGCCTACCTATGTACAATTAATTTAGCTAATTGTTATGTAGAAAGAAAGGATGGAGTAAAACAGAAGAAACAATACTGCCACGCAAACAATTTATGTGTGAATATATGCAATGGCAGCCGCCAAGAGCTTTCTACCACACCACGTCACAAAAACCACCGCTAGAAAAACCACAAAAAAAAATTACAGCAGAACAAAACACAATTAAATTAACTAAAAATAATTTAAAATAAGCAGAAAGCAGCGAAACCAATATTAACGCTAACAGAAGAATACTTATCTTAATTTTGTGCCGATCATCTTGACAACACATCACTGAGATAATGCGCTCAAAAAAACTCTCGTGTTATTCTTCTGACGATGATACTACTCCAATCTATCAGACCGTAAACGTAGGACATCATGCTCTGAAAATAATTTTTCATTGCTCAATTAATAAAATCAGTTATAACCACATGAATTAATCACATTAAGTGTAGTAACAAGTAAAAAACAATTTAAATTATACCAATCTCACCAATACCAAGCCGCATCGCATACCTGTAGAGTGTATGATGCAAAACAAGACAAACGACACAACAAAAAACACACCGAGAAAAGTGAGAAGACAAAAGTCCCTTTCTACCTATGTAATAAATAACCTTATGCCTTAGCCTACCTATGTAATAAATTATCATATGTCTCAGCCTACCTATGTACAATTAATTTAGCTAATTCTTATGTAGAAAGAAAAGAAGGAGTAAAACAGAAGAAACAATACTGCCACGTAAACAATTTATGTGTGAATATATGCAATGGCAGCCGCCAAGAGCTTTCTACCACACCACGTCACAAAAACCACCGCTAGAAAAACCACAAAAAAAAATTACAGCAGAACAAAACACAATTAAATTAACTAAAAATAATTTAAAATAAGCAGAAAAGAAGAAAACAGCGAAACCAATATTAACGCTAACAGAAGAATACTTATCTTAATTTTGTGCCGATCATCTTGACAACACATCACTGACATAATGCGCTCAAAAAAACTCTCGTGTTATTCTTCTGACGATGATACTACTCCAATCTATCAGACCGTAAACGTAGGACATCATGCTCTGAAAATAATTTTTCATTGCTCAATTAATAAAATTAGTTATAACCACATGAATTAATCACATTAAGTGTAGTAACAAGTAAAAAACAATTTAAATTATACCAATCTCACCAATACCAAGCCGCTTCGCATACTTGTAGAGTGCATGATGCAAAACAAGACAAACGACACAACACACGACACAACAAAAAACACACCGAGAAGAGTGAGAAGACAAAAGTCCCTTCCTACCTATGTAATAAATTACCTTATGCCTTAGCCTACCTATGTAATAAATTACCTTATGCCTGAGCCTACCTATGTAATAAATTATCTTATGCCTTGGCCTACCTGTGTAATAAATTACCTTATGCCTTAGCCTACCTATGAAATAAATTACCTTATGCCT